CTATTTGCCCTCCCCCAGGCCACACCGTCACAGCAGCATGAATGGGCACTAGGTCCAGCAGTCAGCTGAGAGCTTTGACTAAGTCTCCAGCTTGGCCCAGGAGCGCCCCAGTGTGCACAAGAGTCCATATTTACCACCTAATGAGAAGCCTGCTGTTATCAACCCACCTCCAGGGCACTCTCCTTCCTTCCTCCCCAAATTCAGTGACAATTCGAAGGCTTTCTCTCCCCCCCAGGTCATGCTTCATCCTAGGGGACCTCAGCATACACTCTCTTCTTGTCCCCCTTTCCAGCCTTCGTTACACATGAACTCCACCCCCACCCATCTCTCCTCTGACTCCAAGCACTTTCCCTGGCTGTCCACCGTTCTTGGAATGCTCTGCCTCCTGGCTTCCTTCAAGCCCCAGCTCACATCCCACCTTCGACCAGAAGCTTTCCCAACCCCCTCTCCATTCTAGGGCCTTCCCTCTGTGGATTATTTCCCATTTATTGTGTATCTAGCTTGTTTGCACATATTATTTGCTTATTGTCTCCCTCATTAGATAGTGAGCTCCTTGAGAGCAGGGACTTTTCTTTGTAGCTCAGCACTTAGCACCCTGTAGCTCTTAATGAATGGTCATTGACTGACTCCCTTTCTTATTCTTAACTTTCTGCAGACTGGTTTCTGACCTCCTAATTTAACTGGAGGCTCTCTCCAAAGTTAAATTGATCTCTTATTTGCTACATCTAATGGCATGTCCTCATTCTGATCCTTCTTTACCTCCATGCAACCTTTGACACCATCCATCACCTCCTTCTTTCTAGGTTTTTGTGTCACTGCTCTCTTCCGGTTCTCCTCTTCCCTGTCTGTCCTTTTCTTCTCAGTCTTTTGCCGAATCTTCCTCCAACTCATACCCACCAGCAATAGTTGTCCTTCAAAGCTCTGTCCTAGGCTCTCTTTTCTTCTCCCTCTATAGTAGTCACTGGGTGATCTCACCAGGCCCCATGATCATCTTTATGCAGATGATTCTCAGATCTATTTGCCCATCCCTAACCTCTCTCCTGACCACCAATCTTTCATCTTATTGGACTTCTTAAACTGGATGTCCCATGAACATTGTAAACTCAGCATCTCCAAGAATGAACTCAAAATCTTTCCTATAAAACCCTCCCCTTTTCTTACCTTTCCTATGACTGTTGAGGGTACTACTATCCTCCTGACACAAGGGGTCACAATCCTTTACGTTGCTACCATCCTGTGGTGCCTCCTTTCCACATCTGTCTGCAGCTACTTCTGTTGTTGGTTGCTACTGCTCTGGTGGACACTGCTACTGCCTCCAGGGCAGGGGGCCTTCTGGTGGATCTCCCAGACTCCCACAGTCACCTGGGCACTCCTGTCTCCAAATACCCATTTGGTTAAGATCAGCAAAGAAGAAACCCTTTAGAAGGAAAGACACCATGGGTGCATGGCCACAGCTGCTAGCTGTGAGGTAGGCCACCTTTCCCCCTACAAAGCAGCTCATGCCAAGATGAAAAAGAGACTGAGAGCACAATTTGCACCTTGGGTATGCAGACTCACTTCAGGCTCAGCACCTCCTGAGTGCCAGCTCAACAACCTGATGATGAGTTCATTAAGGCTTCATAGCCAATTGGAAGACTTTCCATCATTGCACAGTACCAGGTCCCATCTCCCCCTGCTCCTCATGGCTTGAGGAATTATGGAACTAGTGGAGGAGGGAGTGATTGTCTAACTTACTTGTGACTGTATGCCACTGGTACATACCCTTTACTTTCCTACCTCCATGCCTTTACCCCTATGGTTCCCTGTGCCTGAGATACTCTTCCCCTCACCCCTCACCCCTCTTCCTGCCCAATGACTGAATAACTTCAACCCATCATTTAAAATCCAACTCAGATGTCGCCTTTTCCAGAAAGGCTTCTCCTGCTCCCCATTTCAGTAATTAATGGCCTGTCATTCTTGGGAAGTCACTCAGCCCTTGGCTTCTATCTCACTTATACACTTACTATGCACTATTTGGCTTACTGGCTATGTATCTATGCATGTCTCATGTCTTCCTACTAGACTGCCTCAACATCAAGGCAGAAGCTACTTTTTATCTACTGTTTGTATTCCCGACCCCATGGTAGTCCTTGGAACATAGTTGGTGCCTAATCAATGCTTACTGAATTGATTTGAACTAGGAAAGGTCCTTCCTGGGACCACTTCCCAGCCACAGTGTGGGCTAAATCAAAGCTCTAGGCAGTATATCACCTGGACCTGGACAGGAAACCCCCAGAAAGGTCTGTGTGTCTCTTCTCACACTCAGTTCTTCTCCAGTTACTAGATCTTCCCACTTTCAAATAGGAGAAAAACCTGTATTATGGGAGTTCCAGAGTTTGGCAGAAAGGTGCTCTAGGAACTAAGAGCTCAGCCTCCCTGCTGGCTCTGCCGATTTTGAGGCTGAGGCTCCAGCCTAATGCTCCCCTGCCTGATTCCTCTGTTCCTGCAAATCTGACCTTCTCCCCAAGCTTCCCCTCCCCACCAGGCCATTCAGAGCCTCCTTTGCTGGAATCGCACCCTCTTCCTGTCCTCTGGACCTGAGTCATACCCTTCCTTGTCAAAGACTGTAATAGCAAATACAGCAAATACCTCTTCATTCTGGAGGATCGCTTCAGCCTTGGAACACACCTCCTCTGTATCCTCTGCTCCTGGGGCCCCACCCTCTGCTCCTGGGGCTCCACCCTCTCTCTTATTTGGAGGGTAGAAAATGGCCATCGTAGAGCTCCTTCGAGACCCTCCATTTAAGGAGGGCGACCAGGCTAGCTCTCTCTTCTTTTCCCACCTGGCTGCCCCATTCTTGCACCTGGTCTCTTCCTTCTCTCCCTACCTCTCTCCCCACCCCCCTTTCAGTTTCCTTTTCTGCGTTGTCTTCCTCCATTCGATTAGAAGTTCCTTGAGGGCAACTTCTGCCTTTCTATTTGTATTCTCAGCCCTTAGCCTGGTTCCTGGCATGTGATAGGCACTTGATAAATGTTTAGTGACTGACTGACCTTCTGGCTCTTCCCTATAGACCTCTCAGGACCGGTGTAAGGACCCCATGAGACTGGATGGGAAGTTACCATTAGTAAAAATATCTTCTCCATGGAGCTTTCCCACCGGAGCTCAGCTCTTTCTCCACATACTGACCTACAATGCTATTCTCTAGGCCTCCCCTAGCCAGGACCGCTCAGTATTAGTACTTCATGCATGTGTGTGTACGTCTGCATGTTAAGTGTAGCTTCTTGTTTCCCCAATTGGAACGGCAGCTGAGAACAAGGACTTTGTCTTTTTCTTCTTTGAATTTCTACCGTCTCGCACGATAGTGTTCCTGTAGTAGGCACTTAATAGAAGTGTGTTAATGCTTATAATTAGAATGTGGAAGCATCAGGGAAAGGAGAACAGGGAAAAGTAGATTGGACTTGTCAGAACTTGGATCTGGAGAAGCTCTGAAGAGTCGTTCTGACCACTTGGGCTCTGGTCCCGACGATTTGGTGTGGGGTTGTTTCTATGGCTTCCCCATACTCTGCCCGTAGTCTGTACAGTAACAGAAGCCTTCCTGGAGGGCCTGGGGTGGGAGTCGGGGGAAAGGACAGGAGGCGAGGGGGCACTCGGAGGAGCTTCGGAAGCCACCTCCTATAAGTCGGCTGTCTCTCTTTCGGATAGCTCCCACCCCAAAGTCCTTTGGGGGATAGCTAGGAAACTGGGCGCGGCAGAGCGGAACGGGGCGAGCCAAGGGCAGAACCAGCCTCCCCCAGCACGGGTTGCCCCCTCCTGAGCTTTCGCAAGTCCCGCCCTGGTCAGAAGCCCCGCTGGGAGCTGTCCTTCAGCACCACACGCCGGCCCCAGCTGGGCTGGGCACTGAGGGAGGTGGCCGTGGTGGTTGTGGTGGCGGCAGTGGCGGCAGCGACGCTGACAGGGCCCAGGGCAGGTGGGGCCGAGCACGGAGTCCAAAGTCCCTTAAGGCCCGGGCCCCGGGAGGAAAGATCAGAATGCTGGGGATCTCCTCCACCCCCACCCCCTTCAAAAGAGTGGGGCGGGAGCCCGGGTTGGGGAAAGGGGCAGGGGCGCGGATTTGGACCTGGGAGAGGCAGGGTGAGGGGTGGGGGGTTGCTGGGGCCCCGAGCTCCTAGGGCAGCGGGGGAGGGGTGTGGGAGGCGGGAGGATGTACCGAGGCGCAGAAGTGAATGCAGCTAGGGGAGGGCTGGAAGCGTCCTCGCCACCAAGGAGTACAGGCTGCAGCGGAGAGGGGGTGGGGATGGGACTGGGGGAGGGGGAGGGGAGAAGGGGGGAGGTGGAAAGAGACCGGCGCAGGCGCATTCGGGGCCCCCTCCCCCCTCTCTCGATTTGCTGCCCCTCTCTCTCCCCGCCTCCCTTCCCTCCCCCCTCCCCGGGGTTCTCAAGGTGTTCTCCGCACAGCGGAAGATGGCGACAGACTGAGCGGGGATGGCCAGCGCGCGCCACGGGGCCGTCCCGCTCCGCGGCAGCGGCCAGAGCCGGAGCCAGAGCCAGAGCCAGAGCGGCGCGCACGGCAAGCAGTGGGGAAAGGCGCCCTGAAGCCGCGCGCTCGGCCCGGAGGGAGTAAGGAGGGGAGCCGGAGAGCAGCCAGAGCCGGAGAACAGTTGCTGGAGCCAGGGAGCAGACGCCGGAGCCGGAGAGCAGCCGCTGGAGCCAGGAAGCAGACGCCGGAGCCGGAGAGCAGCCACTGGAGCCGGAGAGCTGATCAGGAGGCGCAGGCAGCCCGGGAGCGCGGGGGGTGGCCGGGGCCGGGGCCGGGCTCGGACAGGGGCACTGCCAGATTGAGCCAGGTAGCTGGCGATGCCCGCGGCCGGGCCCGAGGAGTGCTAAGCCGGGCTGGGCCGGACGGGAGTCGGGGCCCGAGCGGGAGCCCGAGAGCAGCCGGAGCCGGGGCCAGAGTGGGAGCCGGGGCTGGGGCCGGGGCCGGCCGGACAGCATGAGGAGCTCGGGGCCGCGGCGGCGGCTGTCGCCGGGGTACCCCCCGTGGGTCCCTGCCCGGGCCGGGGACATCGCCTAGCGGGGCGCGAGGGGTGCGGGGACCGGGCTTGGGGGCCCAGGCGACCCACCCCACGACTCGGGCTCAAAAGGGGCCCGGCCCTGTCCTGCCCGGTGTCTCCCAGCCATGCGGCCGCCCAGGTAGAGCCCGCCCGGACGGCTACAGTTGGAGGAGCGTGGAGGGCCGCCTAGCCGCCTAGCGAAGCGCAGCGCCCTCCCGCCTTCCCGTCGGTCCACCCGCCGGTCCCATCCCTCGGGTCAGTCTGCCCGCCGGTCCTCTCGCCTGTAGGTTCCCCGAACCCCCCTGAAATATGATCAGGGGCGCGTGGACGTGGCCCCGGAGAGATGCCGCTGCGCTCACGCTCTGCTGCTGTTGTCGCTGCTGCTGCTGCTGCTGCTACAGCTGTTCCAGCTGCTGCTGCTGCTGCTGTGGCTGCGGCTGCTGCTGCTGGGCTCCCCGGCCCCCTCGGGGGGCCACGAGCAGCGACAAGCCGTGGGCTGACTCAGAGCGGGCGCAACGATGGCGCCTGTCACTGGCTTCGCTGCTCTTCTTTACGGTGCTGCTCTCTGACCGTCTGTGGCTGTGCGCTGGCGGCCGCCTGCGGGCCAAGGAGAGGAGCGGCTCAGTGAGGCTGCCCTGGGGGGCTGCCGGCCCAGAGCCCCAGCCCCGTCCCGAGGCCGAGCCTCCCCCGGCCATGCTGCTGCTGCTGCCGCCGCCACCGCCTCCGCCGCCCCCGGGGGGCAGCTGCGGCACTCTCCTGGGCAATCTGACCCAGGCCGCCGCAGCCCCGGGGCCGGGCTGTGGGAGCAGCTTCGACGGGGGCAGTGGCGGCGGCGGCGGCCGGAGCAGCAGCCTCGACGGGGGCGGCGGCAGCAGCAGCGGTGGCGGCCGGGCCGGCAGCATCGACGGGGCCGGAAGCAGCGGCCGCAGTAGCGGCCACTGGGGCAACCGCGGCGGCAGGGGCCCCTCTGGGCCCGAAGCGGCCTGCCTGGAGCCTCAGGCTCTGCAGAGACTCGTGGGCGCTGCGCCCCTGAGGCCCCTCATCTCTCCTTTGCCCACCTCGGGCAGGCCCCAAGCCTCTCAAAAGAACTTGCTGCAAGGCCACTTTCGGAACTACACCCTGGCCTTTTGTGACTCCTACTCGGTGGCAGACCTGCTGCTGGGCATGGCCCACCAGGACAGTCTGGACTGCAGCCTGGACGCCCTGTTGGCGGACTTGCTGGCCACCGGGCCCGGGGCCTGGGAGGCGTGTTTAAGCTGTGTCCAGCTGTACCAGCGGCTGGACGAACACGCTCAGGAAAAATACGACGAGTTTGACTGCTTGCTGCAGAAATACTTGCAAGCGGAGGAGTATTCCGTCCGGTCCTGCATAGGAGACTGTAAGGTAGGGGCAGGGGATGAGGGGCGGGGCCCCTGGGAGCTGAGCTGCCGGCCTTCAGTGAACCGCGGTCTGCAGTAGCAGCGGCAGCAGCAGCAGCAGCACAGTGAGGGTGTCAGCCCGCCGCCGCCGCTACCGCGCCGCTCCCGCCGCCGCCACTGCCCCCTACCCCAAGCAGGCGTCGATCCCCTTCCCCCCTTCCTCCTGCCGCCGTGTTAGATCTCTAGGCCACCCGCCTGCGCATCCCAGGCCACCCCTCAAATAAGCAGAGGTGCTTCGAGGTTCAGTGATTTAGTCAGGGTCACTCAGCTAGAAAGGGCCAGAGCTGGGATCGGAAGCCGGGTCTTCTGACTCGAAGGAGGCCAGGGTCCTTGCCAGTGCTCCAGGAGCCATCTCAGGACCTGCTCGCTCTCTCGCTCTCTCTCTCTCTCTCTCTCTCTCTCTCTCTCTCTCTCTCTCTCTCTCTCTTAGGGTTTCTCCTTTCGTGTTCCCACCTGTCAAAGGCTTGGAGTTCTTAGCTATGAAGACAGTCCTGTAGGGAATAGCAGAATCCCTGAGCCCTTGGCAGCCGTGTCTGGCAATTGAAAGTCAGAGAGGCACTGGCCAAGCAAGGTGGAGGCCTGGAGGGCCCCTGGCCCTGTCTCTGGCCTTCTCACTTCTGAGCCAGCCCTGCCTCTTCATTTCAATAGGGTCTTCCTAGAGGAGCCAAGGGAAATGGGAAGCCAAGAAGTATCCAGGTATCCAAGAGGCTGACCGCTTGGCATTCTGACTCCTACCCCTTTCTTGCTGCTGAAGGCCAAGAGCAGGGCTCTAGGGAGGGATGGGGACAGACTACCTCAGAAGGCATGGCCATTGGTGACCTGGGAGGCCTGGATTGGACATAAATGGGCAAGTAAGGCTCCTCAATGGCTCCTAGGGATATTGGCTGACATTCACCCCCTCATTACCATGCTCCATGAACCCCCAAAGCCTGTTCCTTCCGTCGGGCTTCTCTCAGAAGAAAGTGGTTGGGGCAGAACCTACCTGGTCTCCTCCAGCTTTATTCATTCAAAAGCTCCCTTACCCAGATCCCCCCAAGTTGGTCTTTGGTGTGAGTAGAGGAAAAGAGGAAAGAGTTGGAGAAAGGGGCTGAGCTGAGCTTCTTCTAGACTGAACGAGAGAGCCTAGTGGCAGACTGAGCCTGGATGTCAAGGGGGTGATGGGGGATGTAAGCTGAGTCTGAATCTACTGAGCTGCTCAAATCTTTGGCAGGAATGAGGGGGAGGGAGGGGGCAGTCAGTATAGTCACAGGCTTGGGCAATGAGGGTGGGCAAGGAGACCAGGGCAGATGGGAGCTCTTCCCGCCTCCTTGAGCATCAGGGGCTGGGTGGATTCCTCCTACCAAGTGGGCATTTGTTGCTAGAAAGTACTTTCTTCTCTGAGACCCCATGGACCCAATGTGCCACCCAACAAATGCTCTAACATCTCTGGGGCAAGAGGACGGATGGGATGTTGGGGTGGGGGGGAGGTCTTTGCTCCTGACTTCCCCTTCCTCTGGTTACTCTCCCTCCCTCCTCCTGCAGCCTCAGCTGACTCACCACCTCACTCACACTATCAAATAAGAAATGCAACCCCTTAAAGGCACACAGCCACCTAGAGAAACTGACCCCCCCTTTCCAGGCAATGTCAGAGAGAGACCTCCAGATCTGGAGATTCTCTCACACATACACACACCCCTCCAAAAGTGTCACAGAAAGACACAGACACACCCACACCCACAGTGCTATCCACACAGGCACAGACAGAAGCGCTGTCACACGCACGTGCACACACACACACACACACACACACACAGACACACACAATTTGTTTCAAAGAGGAAGAGGCACACATCTTTGGTGTCAGCCACTAGCACACAACCGCAGACCATGTCAGAATGCTTCATATACTGACGATGTATCCTGGAGACAAAGCCACATGGCTAGCCAGGCAGAGAAATTGATCCCCTGCCCCCAAGCCCACAGCATTGATTTTTTAAAAAATCAAACCCCAGAATTCATTCCATAAACAAACATTTATTGAGCAGCTGTTATGGATAGAAGACTGAGCAGGCTGGAAGGGAGGTAGAAGGCATCATACAAGAATAAATAAGACAGGGCCCCAGGGTCTCAAGGAGCTTAGAGTCTGGTAGAGGACATGAGACATGTATACAAATAACTCTGATACAAATTAAAGTGTAATGAGTCCATAAGAGATATCAAAATTGTGAGACTAAATAAGAGGCTCACTGCTAGATGGGGGGTTGTGGATCTCCTGGGGCTCCTGGAAAAGTTGGACCTTGAAGGATGGGTAGGATTTCAACAGGTGGAGATGGTGGGACAAAGCAGGGCACTTGGGGAGGGGGTTGAGCACAGGTAGATCTCTGCTGGGGCCGGTAAAGAATCCCATGGAGTTTGTCACATTTATGGAATTCACATTGCATATTTCCACTGGGCTGGATCCAATGACCATATTTTCATAATTATAACTTCAAATAGTTCAAATTCAACTACATGCAGCCATTTCAAGGGATTCATTATTAACCTAATCGAGACCTACCTGTACTCCCAGATGGGAGATGGATGGGCCACTGAAAACTGCCCTGCAGGTTTCTATTTATCCAAATTCCTAGTTTCCCCCAGAGTTCCTGCTGTCTCATTTTCTTTCCTCTTCTTTGATTGTCCCTCCCCCTTTATGTGCTGCCTTTCTCCTGCAAGTGGCCTTAGAGACACTCAGCCGAAGTCCCCTCCTCTCCTCTGCCTCCCGCACCCCATGATACATCCCTGTGTTCCAGGGCATAGGACCTAACCCACTCCAAAAGTCAAAGATGCAAATCCCTGAGGGTTGTTACGTGAACCTTGGGGCTGATTTCACATGTTCAGGTCCTCTTGTTCATCCGCAGACTCAGCCTCTGTCACTTCCTCTCCTAGTTGCCCTGGGAGATCCCATAACCTCTTTTTGGGTCTCTGGGGGATGAGAGGACAGTCAGCCCTGAGGCCAGGAAGCTTCTTCTCCAGTGCCAGCCCAGCCTGATGCTCCCTGCTGAAGTGACTGAATGCCTGGGGCCCAGCCATGTTTGGTGCTTCTGAAGCCCTTCTGCCTTCTCCCTTCAGCCCTTGTTTCAGGCCCCGCTGATCATGCCTGTCCTCACTGCTGCCTGTGACACCTGCTAATTTAGGGCCAACTGTGACATCTCCTTAATGGGATGCTTGCTTCCTTTCTCAAAGCAGAAAGGAGACGTACCCAGGCCCTGGATCCCACTGCCTGAGGCCCCCCTCCCCCCAGCCTTGCCCACCTCCCCACCACCACCATCCTGTGGCCTTGCCCTTCGATAGCTCTGTCCTCAGCCCTATGACGCTGTCTTAGGTGTTTCTGGGAAACTGGCCTCAGCTGGGGGCCACTATATTTTCTCTGTACTCTCTTACATGCGAGGCAGCTTCATGGCCTTCCATCTGGGGCCCTGATATTGCCCCCTGGCGGCAGTTCTGGCTCCAGAGTCCTTCCCTTAATCCTCAGTCTCGTTCCTGCTCCAGACCCTTGAATGCTTGGTGGACAGGGGAGGCTAGGTGGCTTCAACACTTTTGACTCGGAGAAATGGGAAGGAAGCCTGGGAGGAAGTTGCCTTCAGCCCTCCTTCCCTGCTAGGCTAGGGTCAGAGAAGGAGCAGAGCAGATCTGCCACCTGGCACCCCAAGACTTACTTACCTAGGCTAGCTGGGCCCACTGTTATCGGTGCCCAAGACTGGCCATACTTACCCAGGCTAGCTGGCCCCACTGTTGTTACATGTGCCTTGGGTGATAGATGCCTTCTGCCTCCCTACTTCAAGCAGGATTCCATGGCCTGGAGCCAAACACCCCTGGCAATGGGCAGAGGCAAGTTAGGCTTGGGCTCTCCCTTGACTCGTATGCAAGCCTTAGTCTAGACTAGCAGAGCAAGGGAAGCAAATACTACCCTCTGCCCTGCTTATGCCACATCTGGAATGTAAATTGTTTTCAGATCTGGGTGCCACATTTTAGGAAGGACATTGATAAACTGGAGGGCACCCCAAGGAGGGCAAGCAGGCTGGCTATAGAGACTAGGAACCGTGCCATAGGAAGATCTGTGGAAGGAGCTGGGAACGCTTAGCCAGAAGAGAAAACTGGAGCTAGGAGTGGGGACATCACAAGCTTTTGGTGAATCTGAAGGGCTGTTCTGTGGAAGGGGGCTTAGCTTTGTTCTGCTTGGCCCCACAGGGCAGAACCAGGAGCAGTAAGTAGTGATAAGAGAGGCCAAGATTTCAGCTTGATGTAAGGAAGAACTGTTTAACGATGAGAAGTGTCCCAAATTGGGACGGGCTCCTCCGTGCCCACACGGTCTGAACAGAGACTGGCTAACCACTTGTAGGGGACGCTGTAGGGAGGGGTTCCGGCTCAGGTGTTGGTTAGACTGAGGTTCCTCCCATCGAGAGACTCTGGGATTTCAAACACCCTCTTCTCTGTGGCAGTGCCCTGGCACCATGCCTGCTGGGCACCAGGAGTGCATGTTCTCATTAGAATTTCAAAGCCAGCTTCCTGCAGAGATTAACCCCTGTCCTCCTGTCCGTCAGCCTCTTGCTGCACTACAGGCTTCAAGGTACCAATGAGCAGAGCTCTGCAGTAGGCCTCCCTCACCCTGGGGCCCTTGCCGGCCTAGGAGGATACCCTATTTCCCCAAACTGTATGCAGCTACTGTTCAGGTTTCCTCCAGCAAATGGTACTTGTCACTTTCTCTCCAAGGGGCTAGCTTAGGAGAAATTGGCCCGGTAGTGAGCGAGATTGCCCCAGTGGCCTCAGATGTCCAGGTTACAGTTCTTTCCCACCTCCTAGTCAGAGTGCTTCTGGTCTGTCCCCTGCTCTGGTCAGCCTCCCAATCCCCCCACAGGGGGAACTTGGACCCATCACACCTCTGCCCTCCACACCTGGTCAGCCTCCTGGGCTTCCCATTGGAGGATAAGGGAGGGGATGGAGAGG